CTTGGAGGTGGATCGTATGTCCAAATGATTGCACCATATCGATCCACTCCGATGATTACGTAATCTTCAAGATGATGACGTAGTCCCTGACGCGCCGTCGTCGTCCACGAGTCTCAGAGCTGGATCGGGTCACCTCCCATCAATCAGTCCCTTGTTCCCAGAAGCCAACTGTCACTTCACCACAATCGTCCCCCGAGTGAGAGCCCACAGCGCCAACTGTCGGGCTTCACTTACCGATCTCCGCCTCGCGTAGCACATTCTCGTCTGCGTCTTCGCTCACCTTCACGCCCGTCCTCAATGTCCGCGCAGCTGTGTCGTCATGTCTTCCGGTGCGTCTGCTCCCCTGCGTTGTTGGCCTCTCCTTCGTTGCTAACTCACGTCTTCTGTAGACAGCAGCGCTTTCGTCGACCTCACGTCCTCGGCTGGCTCTTCTCCTCGTTTCGCTGCGCGTGGTACCCCTGCCACCGTGTCGACTGTCGAGCTGACTGATCCTTCGCTGGGTCTTGCCGGTGTGCGGGCCTCGCTGAGTGCGCTGCAGCAGTCCCTCGACCAGGTCGAGGCACTGCGCGAGCTTCGCTCGGATCACGAGTTTCTGCGCCGCGAGTTTCTAACTACACGACGTCGCGCGGAGGATCTGGATCGTCAGCTCACCGACGCGACCAATGCTGCGTCGCCGTACGTACTCTTCTGTCAGCACAAGTACGATGTGGTTCGCCACATGCTGGAATCCACTCGGACGGAGCTCGCCGAGTGCATGACTGCGTTGCAGGAGCGTCTCGACAACTCCTGCGAGCTCGAGGCTTGCCGCCTTCGGTATCGCGATTTGAAACTCCGCTACAACGAAGCGGTGTCAGAGTTCCAAGATCGGATCTGCACCTTGGAGGCACAGCTGGCTGCCGCCTCTTCCTTTGGCGTGCTCGTTCCGCCCGATACAGCTCGTCGCATAGCGGATCTGAAGTCCCAGTTTGCACGGTCCCAGTCTGATTTACAAGTCGCGCGCGATCGTCTGTCTGCCCTCGCTTCGGAGCTTCGCGAATCGGCTACGTCCCATAAGGCTGCTCAGGCTGGGGTAGCTCGTCTCGAAGCCGCGATCAAGCGCAAGAACTGTCGCCTTCGCACTTTGAATGACAACTATGAGCGTCGCCTGAGGGTCGCCGACACCACGATCGACACACATACCGCCGAGCTTGGTCGCTTGCAGGATCGAGTATCAACACTGGATCGGGATCTCCCGCAGGTTTCCCAGCGCGTCCGCGTGGCGATCTCTCAGAGTGATCAAGCCAGGGCAGAGCGTATCGCCAACCGTGAGTACCATTCACATACCTTTGTCAGCGTCGTACTAATTCCTGCCTTGTGTCACAGAGGATCGTGCCTCAGCGGCTCGCGATACTTTCGCCCGGCTGGAAAAACGGATCAACCAAGTCGAGAAGTCTCAGAAGTCGCGTCAAGATCTCGAGCTCGCGCTCGCTACGCTTCAGTAGGAGAGAGACAGTCTGGCGGTCCAAAGAGATGAGTTGCTCGACCAGCTTGGTGAGAGTTTCATGGAGGTCACCGATCTACGGGCCGAGCGGGACCAGGCGCAAGAAAGATTTTCCAGCATCGCGTCCCTTCTCTCTTCCGCCCTGAATCACAAACGAGCACGCTCCAAGTCTGATCCTCCAGCCCGGTCTGCCCGCGTCTCCAAGGCCGCACGATCGACTTCAGGTCCCTTCCCGGCTGGCGCTTTGAGTCAGGGCTCTGCGTCTAGATCTTCGATCGAGGTATTGTCTGCCGAGGCTGCCGGCCAGAAGGCTGAGGGGCCGGTGTCGTCTCCTTAGTCCGCTGGTCCCCCTGATCATCATTCTCGATCTGTTCGATCGACCACCAAGGGTGGCAGCGAAGGCGCTTCGTCGTCCCCTGCAGCTTCTGAGGTAGGCTCGCATTCTGACGGTGGCGAGAGCTCTTCTGGCATATCTGGTTCTACTCGCGTCTTCGACTCGGACGCCGCGGGAAGCGACAGTAGTTCTCCGGAGTCGGGTCGTGCCAAGAACGAGGTCGGGATGCCATCCGGTCTTCTATCGAACGCTGAGCTGGCGGCGTTGCCGCCTACCACTGTTCCCCGATCGGAATGGCTCCCTGGTTATCGCGATCGTCGCAGCTTTCGCGGCCACGACATCGTCCCCTGGTCTGCGCAGGACATCCGCCAGATCAGCATCGTGGAGATGGACGCGGATCTGCTGTTTCACCACTACACCAAGCC